TATCTATCTATCTATCTATCTATCTATCTATCTTGTGAGTTACTCACAAAACAGAAAGAATTCAACATTTTTTAAACTGAACTGACTAAACTGTTGATGACTTCACTAAACAGGTAACCCTAAATATCAATATATGCACATGATGCTGAGTGTAAAAAATGGCTTATCTTCATTATCAAAACGCTCTTGTGCCTTTCCTACCTATATTTCTACACTTAGTTATTCAAATTAACTAGATATCTTGTATGTACAAATAGAAAGAAGTTAACCTTAAACGCAAATGTCAGTAATTGATCACCTTAAAAAATGTATATTGTACTACCAGTGCACTTTTTTGGTGTTGTTTAAGATACTCAAGGCACTCATGTTTAACTGTACCATCAGACTTAAAATATTAACTCTGATGTACTCTTGACTTAATAAAGACTAATCACTTACTATTTTAAACATCTAATGAAAGTTCCTGCAACATATAATTTCTTAAATTATGTTTACTTGAACAGAAATCTTGTTTATGCAAACAAATGCAAACAATTACCTTAAAAAAACAACAAATCTTACTCACACTATTTCTGATATGTCATGCCATTAAGGCCAATACATGATTAAGACTCATATGCACACCCAAGGCGGACAGCGTTTATCATTTTCAAGCTTTTCTTTTCCACAAGGAGAGAGGAGAGTGTGATTGGTCACATAGCATAGAAGTTGGAGGACCTCACGACTGAAGGATACATCAAGGAGTCTCCTTGGCGGAAGACCAAACAAGAAATCAATGAACCACCCTCTTTCATATACAGTGGAGTAGATGGACTTTCTGTTTATGTAGTCTTTTCCACATATGTGTGGCCTCTGTACCCTTATTGGCAATCATTAACTGCATCTGTCACACAGCTGAGACACCAAGAGATGGACAGCAGCAGCAGCGGATATGACTTTCTCACAGCTGTTTGGCCAGGAGATAAAGGTACTGGCCCTGTGTACACATGGTGCTCAGTACTTTTAATATGCTACTGCGTGTTGATGACTATGACATATCAAACTTGTCTAAGATCTCCCAGAAGCTATTTTGGTTGGCCATGTACCACAGGAACATCAACACCTTCTTTGTCACAGGAACTCTCGCGACAGCTCTTAACTGGGTTCTTTTTGTAAGCTCTTCTCCTGCAGCTTTGTAAGGAGGTATTCAAACTGTGGCTTGGTGACTCAGAAGCGACGTGCAAAGGTTTTGCTCCATGTCCATGCTTGATCCATGTCAAGCATGAGCTGCTACTCTGTCCCAGTGTTCAAGAGGAAACATTGTGTGAACCTCTAGTGTTGTCTTTATAAACAGAAAATTAAGAAGAGAAAAACAAAAGTAGAGAGAAATTGTTAACATGTGTGTGCTTTTTGAATGAAACAGTCCATCTGCCATTTTGCTGATAGAAAAGCTACTTTAAAAAAACTGCAGCTAACAAGACATCAGCGAGTATTAATTAAATTGATTTGTTTGTTTTTTTATATTCTTTGCTACATTTTTATATACAAAAATGTTTCCTTTCTATGAAATTTTGATCACTAGCAGCCCTCAACTCACGCATTCATCCTCTCATGAACCCACAAATGGTGTGCTACAATGAAATGAAAAGTATGTTTTCTGCTGGAAATATTAAAAGAAGCAACATATGTGACCTCTGTAATGTCTCCTCGGGTTCTTTAGATGAATGGATGGGGTCAGGTCAGTTTTGCAGCAACAGCCCCTTTTTTCAGCATTTACATTTATGACAAACAGCAACAAAGTAGAATGGTTAATTCTCATGGACAACCAGCGCAAGCCCTCTGTTATTCTGAGGATTACCCACAATTTGTTTTCCTTACTGTATATATTAACATTCTGTTGAAAACAGTCTAGTTTTCCTTTTTCCCCCACTAAGTTATATGTCACTATAGCTAATACTAACTAATGTAAGTTGATTACAGCAACCAACCAACCAACCAACCAACCCAGTGATATCACATTCTGTACAAACAGGAAATGGTGCCAAACATGTTCTAAAAACTTAATCTGTAAACAGTTATGTCTTAAATCCAGCTTCACGGATGGTGTTAAATCTATGGCAGTTTTTTAGAGAAGGTGTTCGTGTTGTAAATTAGCCTTACATGTGGTGTTTCATGTCCACTTTCAACAATTAAAATACATTTAGACCACAAAAGAGAACAATTGCCCCCATTTCAACATTCTTGGTGACAAAGTTGTTGTAAGAATGTTGATGACAAAAATTATGTGCAATTTTGAATAATTTGTTTTACAAATCAAAGTGTTCTGTGCCAAGAATCTTTATAAACAAAACAGAATGAATTAAACCAACGGTACCTTAAACTTAACTCACACTGAAAGGCAGGTCCACTTTTTGTTGCACACACCTCAAGAAGGTTGGCCAGTTGTAGACAGAAAAACTGTGTTTCAGTCCAGATATAGTTGACAACAGGTAGTGCTCAGATTCACAGCAAAATAGAAGGAAACAGTTGCCTACACCAAAAGAAAAGTGGCCAAAGACCATTTCTCTCTCTTTATTCCTTCTGATTTTTCTCTAGTTTTGATTACAGTACATACAGCCCATTTAGGTTGCGCAGGTAGTCCAGGATGACGCATTCATGCAATGCCATAGGAAGAAGGCTTGCTGTGTCTCTCAGCACAGTCTCAAGAATTTGCTAGTGACAGGCTAACAAGGAGAGCTCAACAGAGCTGTAAATGGTATCAGCTAAGCTGCAGCACTAGTATCTGCTCTTTTGTGTCTAGAGATACAGAACATACACTGCCACAAAAATGACCTCCAGCTGGCTATTCATGTGCATGATTTCTCCACAAGGTCTGCATGAGGGTCCAAATGTCTTAGAGGGAGCTGTGCCCACAGCATGTACGTTAATTGACATTCCCCAGAGAATATCAGTTTTTGTCTCAATGGAACCTCATTGTCTCCACAGACGACAGTTCATTAACAGCTGGGGGCGACCGTGGATCAGGGGGTTGGGAAGCGCATCCGTAACCGGAAGGTCACTGGTTCGATCCCCGGGCTCTCTGTCCTGGTCGTTGTGTCCTTGGGCAAGACACTTTACCCTACCGCCTACTGGTGTTGGCCAGAGGGGCCGATGGCGCGATATGGCAGCCTCGCTTCTGTCAGTCTGCCCCAGGGCAGCTGTGGCTACAACCGTAGCTTGCCTCCACCAGTGTGTAAATGCAAGAGTGAATGAATAGTGGCATTGTAAAGCGCTTTGGGTGCCTTGAAAAGCGCTATATAAATCCAATCCATTATTAACACATTTTTTGTTATCAGGGAAATACTGACCTATACCTCTTGTTGGAAAATTCCCCCCCCCTTTTTGATCCTTTGAGATTTGTCTTGAAAATGCATCTCTGAAATTAAATACAAAAACATTATATAACCAGTGATTAATTGTGGACTCCTCTGTGACACTTGTTGTAAATGCATTAACAATAAAATTAGAAAAACAGTTGGAATTTGCAAATAGCATGTTTGTGGTGCCATTTCTTTGGGTTTATGGGTCTTTATTTCATTATACCTGAACCAGTTTCTTTTGGTGTTTTTTCATGCCTTTAGTTCTGAGCTATGTTCAAGCTCTTGGCATGCAATTGTCACGGTTCTGGGTCAGTTCTGACCCAGCATTTTGGGTTTTCATGTTTTGGTTTGATTTTGTATTTTTGTTTATTTTCTTGATCTATTGTCAGGCTATGAGGATGATGATGATGATGATGATGATGACGATGATGTTTAGTATGTTCCAGCTTATTCTGGTTTAGGTTTAGTTCTGCCCATGTAAAGTCCGTGTTTCTTAGTCTGCATCTTTGTGTATTGTTTCCTGTTTTATGTCAGTATGTCTAACTTCACTCCCCCTGTCTCGTTAGCCCTAATCTCTCCCAGTTGTGTCTCCCTCCTGTTTTCCATTCCCTGATTACTCCCCTGTGTATATAAGCCCTGTGTTTGCCTTTGCTCAGTGTTGCATCGTACCCTCAGACTTGCTTGTGTGTTTCAGTTTCCAGTGATTCAGTGTCAGTTCGTGTTTTGCTTTCTCACCAGCAATAAAGCTGAGGTTTTTGAGTTTCAATTCAGTGTTCGAGTCCTGCATTTGGATCCTCCTCTCCATCCCTCCGCACACAGAGCCCTAACAGCAATGGTTTTGAGCTCAGCATTAATTATGCTTTGGGTTCCTTGTGTTTGTCAGTTGTGCTTATAAGTTTCTTATACATTTGCTCTACTCTGCTCCCTATTAATTCCCCATTGTATTATTTTGTTTCTAGTTTAGTCATAAATTACCTTACATTTATTTGTTCCACTCCTGTTCTCTCTCTGTGTTTCATCCTTGTTTATTTACTTTTTGTCTAGGTGTCAGTATCTGTTTAAGTGTTTATGCTTCCTGTTTTATTTTGATGGTTCCTTTTCTTGCATATATTATGTTCAGTTTTGCTTCCAATGTCTCATTATGCCTAATTTGTTCCTGCTGTGTCTTGTTCTCCCAAGCGGTCTTTACTTGCCCTACCACCCTCCTGTGTATATTAGACTTGTAGTCAAGACCGCCTAAACCAAACCCAAGACAATACCAAGACCAGAGGGTATCGAGACCAAGAGCAAGACAGACCTAGTCAAGACCAAGACAAAAAGGAAATTAAGTGAGGAGCTGGCTCTCGCTCAGTGGGAGTCGACTCTTCGGATTCACTACAAAGCACTCTCTAAGCACGGCTCTTAGAGCTGATGCTTTTGTGCATGACACATTATCGAACGTTACGTTGTGTGTCATGGATACTGTTTACTCCAAATCTCCCGACCACTATGTCGATCTGAGACAGCAATTCCAAGACAAGACCGAGATCAAAGTCCGTCGAGACCAAGACCACGTAAAAGTGGTCTCGAGACCAAGACCGGTGAATCCTGAGCCAGAAAAGCTGCAGTCCCTGCCTCCAGAAGGGTTGGCTGTATGCTCTACAAGCAGCCCCAGCCTCTGGCATCTCCAGACCACCCTGTGTTGTGTGGGTTTGGGGTTATGTTTTTTTTTTTTTGTTTGTTTGTTTTTTTGCCTTCCCAGAATATCCTGTGAGTCTTCTCAGTCGGCCCCACTCTCCTGTTAAACCACTGGTGGGTTCTAGTCACTGTCACTGGTCCCCAGCCAGGCCACCAGAGGGTCTCCAACTTCAGTTCCAGTGGCAGGCTCCAGATAGTTTCCTCCTTCAATGCCATTGCGGGCCTCATCCCCAACCATCAGCTGGGCTCCACCTCACCTGTTGACCTCATTCCCTATCTCGTCACTTTTGCTTCCTCCATTTGTTCTTCCACAGGGTAATGTAGGGCGACCAACCATCCTCTTTTTTTGCACTTGTTGACTTGTAAAAGCTTATATGATATTTTTTATTTCACCATTCATTAACCGCACAGAGAACATCGTTTAAGTATGTTAAAATTTTCTTTAAACAAACAGTATTATTAAAGTTCTTCAAGACTGGGCCGAGTGTCCTCTTTTTTGGAAGTCTAAATATGGTCACCCTAGGTAATGTCATCTTTGTTGCCAGTCGATTGGGAATAAGCCAATTCCGAATTTTTGGTTAATTTTGCTGAGAAAAACAAGTCTGTGAGCACAAGGAACACTCAAAATCCAAAGAAACATATGTAATGAATGTCAACTATTGTATGCAGGTAGCTAAAAAGATAGCTAATATTATCTCAATTAAAAAAGAAAGAAAGAAAGATACAAAATCTGATTGCCACCAGTCCAAAATTTAAGATCTTTGGTTCCACCCACCATGTCTTTGTCCGACTGAGAAAATGTAAATGGATGGTTTCTACATGCATGGTTCCCATCGTCATAGAGGAAGAGGTGTGATGAGGTGTGTGTGGATGCTTTGCTGGTGACATTGTGAAGGGACACTGAACCAGTATAGCTACCACAGCATCCTGCATTGACATGCCATCCCATCCAGTTTGTGTTTAGTTGAACCAGTTTGACCAAGAAGGAGAGTAATGCTGTGCCAGATGGCCTGGCCTCCACAATCAACTGATCTAAACCCAATCAAGATGGTTTGGGATGAGATGGACCACAGAGTAAAGGCAAAAGGGCCAACAAGGGCTGAGCATTTCTGGGAACTCCTTCAAGTATCTACCTCATGCAGCTCATTGAGAATGCCAGGTGTGGGCAGTAATCAAGCAATCTATTTTGAAGAATCTAAAATATAAAACATGCTTTGAGTTATTTCAAACGTTTTTCTTTACTATATAATTCCATATGCATTCATTCATAGTGTTGATGCCTTCAGTGAGAATCTGCAATGTAAATACTCATGAAAGTAAAGAAAAACAATGAGGTGTGTCCAAACTTTTGACTGGTAGTAAATTTCATTTAAGACGTAAAGACTATTTTTAAACTTGTTGAATTAGATCAGATACCCACAATTAGAAAACTAAAATATTTCAACTCCTCCTAACATGGATTTTACAATTTACATTTTAAAATTTTAAATGAAAAATTTCCAATTAATGATTTTATTAGGCTGAGACTTGAAGTTGATTCAAATGGTTGTACTGTTATAGTGAAAGTAAAAAATTAAAAAATAAATAGAGAGAATAATCACGATTCGACTGTTTCTAATGAATAGAGAACAAAAAAACAAACAAAAACAAAAAAAACCAACTTTAACCTAACATGATTGTTTATGCTGCCCTTTAAATGTACAGCTGGATGTAATTTGTGCTTTTGATTGAGAATGGTTTGCCTTTGTTTGTTTGTTTTTTGGTAATTTTGTGTATACAAGTTGAGTACAACTTCACAAATTTGAATTCCTGTGGCGCTGATTCACTAACCGGAAGCTGTCATCTTCTCGCGATGTTTTTTGTTGTTATTGATTCGAAACATGGCGTCCGAGGTAGAGGCGGGCATTGCTACTGCAGCCGAACCTGAGTCCGGAGAAGGGTATGTGCGCCTGATGCAACAGTTTTATTGTCTGTGTAGATTGTATAGAATTTTTAGGTCATATTGCGGATTATATGTGTACATATAACCCGCATTAATTAGCATTAACGTTCTGTTTTTATCAGAAACAATGTTAGCAAACTGGCTAAACTTGCTAACTAGCGTTAGCTTTTCTTAAACTTACAGCTTAAACGCCAATGTTAGAGTTTAAGCTAGATTTATGGTCCCGCAAATGTGTCCATCCGCGTACACGTTTCCCAACATCTGCATCTGCAGGTCCATAATTTCCACTGTAGTACAAGCGTGTACAACACCGGAATAGAGCTTACCGGGGACCATTAAACCGTGCCAAAACCCAAATATCAAAAATTATAGTACGAGTAGCACAGAGTGTGGTTGCAGTGACACTTTTTTTTTTATTGTTTTATGCATTCGATTTCTATTCAGGTTTAACTTCGCTTTTCTCCGTCGCTAGCTAACGGACCAACAACAACACATGCGAGAGTGTCTCATAGACCGGTTGTAAGACATTGCACACCGCCTCCATCTGACAGCATAGCTCAATGCTCAGCGGCCATAAATTCTGCTTAAATTCCTGACCTACCGAAAAGCGTACGCAGACGGACACATGAAGCCAGTTTGAAAGAGAATGCAGCTTTACACCAACAGACCCTACACTGCGTGGTCTGCTGACAAACGCGTAAAATCTGGAAATTATAACTGAAGACCTTTATGTGGAAAATAGCAATTTTCTTTAGCAGTATGCTTTTGATTAAAATAAAAACTAACAAAGGGAAAACAAGTGAGCATGTACTAGCTGAAATAAGATCCCTTCATGGATGGGTAAACTTTGGTTTTCCTTTATAATATATATGTCTTTTTTTTTTAAAGTTAATAGAAATGTTGTTATTGCACTTCTCTTATGGCTGCTTTTGCATGTATAATAATTGTTGGATCATCTGATTTGTCCATTGATGTTCAGGGAAACTGCATTTGGAGTGCTACCGACCATGGAGACTGAATCATCTAATGGCAAAGAGGTAATGGTACTGAGTTATATAACTGCTAAGGCTTTGTTTTGTAAATTCTTGCTTTTAATTATCTGAGTTTGATTATTTCAGGAGGCAGCTGGTGAAGGCTCAGAGGCTGCTGACGCTCTCACTGGGTCAGGAGATGAGGAAAGTGGCAGGCAGCTGGGAGAGGTGGAGCTGCAATGTGCTTTGTGCATGAAGTGGTTCACCGCTGACACATTTGGCATCGGCACAGAGTAAAGCTATTATTCGGTAGCTGGTCAGTACAATATCAGCAGCTGTGTAACGGTCCTGACAGCTTTCATGCTCCAGTCTTTCTCCTCCTCTACAGGACCTGTCTGCCCTTTATGACCAATTATGTGTTTCACTGCAACGTGTGCCATCACAGTGGTAACACATATTTTCTCAGGAAACAAGCAAGTATGTGTGCCATGTGCTTTAACCAGCTAATAACCTTTCTGAAGCTTTAAGATCATAACTTACTCTGTGTTTTGAATGACTGACAAAGCGCTTTTGGTTTCTCAGACCTGAAAGAGATGTGTCTCACAGCTCTTGCTAACCTGACATGGAGATCCAGAACACAAGACGAGCATCCAAAGACCATGTTCTCTAAAGACAAGGTGCGTGTAACTGTTTTTGGCTTTTCCAATGATATTACACTTATAGGATAGCCATTAGTCTTATAAGTAGGTGTATCAAACTGTTGCCTTCCCAGACATAGTAGATGTTCATGGAACCGTTTTAAATTCTGAGTAATGCTAATCTTTACTTAAATTACTGTTGTTGAGTTCGTTTCCTGACGCGCACTGAGTATATGAAAACTGAGGGTCAGGCAGTAAAGCAGGTCATCTACCACCTGAAAGAGCCATCTCCAGCTCGTTCAATATTCCTAAGGGTTAAAGGATAGACTATAGAACTGTATTAAAGTGGGTGTGAATGGGTGAATGAGGTTTGTGTTATACAAATTCCAGTCCAGTTAATTTCCTAAATCATAATGGGAAATGAGTACAAACATGTATAAACACACACTGGTCATCTCAGACGAGCCATGGGAGGTCAGACGGTAGTGTACCTTTTGTACCAGTTTTAAGCTGGGAAACATGTGGCCAGTTACATCAGAAGGGGAGCTGAATGTAAAATCCTTTACAAATAAATTAAGTGACTAAATTAAGTGGGAGGCAGATGATCCGCTGTGGTGACAACCTGTTAAAAGGGAGCAGGGGGAAGAATTCAAGCTTATGGACATTTATGTGAAAGAATTATTGTTTACCTTTTTTTAACTTGTTGAAGCCCTCCTAAATTGTAGGATTAATTAATTTTCAATTTTCTTTTTTCTTTTCTTTTGTTACAGGATATCATCCCATTTATTGACAAGTACTGGGAGTGCATGACAACTCGACAAAGACCCGGGAAGCTCACCTGGCCAAACAATATAGTGAAGACGATGGTACAGTGACTGCTACAGTCCATTACACAGAAAATATAGGCAGTTATGCTTTAAATTCTCTTTTTTTATTAAAAAACAAAACAAAAGACAAACATGTCCATGTGAAGACAGCACAGTTAGGAAAAGAATCAGAATACTTTAATGGAGTGATGTGGGTTACAGTTGCTTCAAGACAATAACAGTAACAGACTAAATTAATTAAATAGTACAATATATTACAAAGTTTACAAATGTAAGAAATATCACTTAAATATACAAATAGCTCAATTTAAATATTAAGAATATTACAGAGGTGAAATATATATGATTGACATTTACCTTTAACCTGTTAAACTTTGTCATTTGTTATTTTACTGTAGAGCATGTGCAAAAGGGTGTAACTGTTGCAGTGTGCACTGTACATTAGATGGAGGAGTTGTACAGAGAGAGAGCCACATGGGAGGAATGATTTTCTGTGTCATTCAGTGGTGCATTTTGATAATCTCACTGTCTTACTGAACATGCTCCTGTGACTGGCCAGCCTCTCTGGCACCAACCTAAGGAAGTCCAGCTCCATCCCCACAACATTAATGGCCTTGTGGATGACCTTATTGAGTCTGTTGGCATCTGCGACCCTCAACCTGCTGCCCCAGCATGCAACGTCATAGAGGATGGCACTGGTCACAACAGACTCGAAAAAGTCCTGAGCATTGTCCACCAGATGTTGAAAGACCTCAGCCGCCTCAGAAAATAGTGTAGAGTGCAGTGATGTTTTTAACCCAGTCCAGTTTATTATCTATGTGTACTCTGAGGTATTTATAGAAATGTTGTTTAACCATTCTTATAACTATCCACCCTGCTGCACTGCTATATCATGACCAGGTATCCTCATATAAATAAATATGTAATGATTATTGAAATGTTGTAGTATTAGTTTTGAGTAGAACTTTTATTTTCCAGTGCAAAGAGCGCGATGTTTTCCTGGTGAAGGAACACCCTGATCCAGGCAGTAAAGACCCTGAAGAGGAGTACCCTAAATTTGGCCTTTTGGACCAGGTATTTTATTCTGTTATTTGTTGCACACTGGAGGGGCATTTGTTTCATTTTTAAAAAAAAATAATAATACAGTGTGTAAAATATGTATTTCTTGTGTAGGACCTGGGAAACATTGGACCCTCATATGACACACAGAAACAGACTACTGGTACTCCCATGGCTGGTGGGCTCAATGGTAAGGGTGCAAAACAATATTCCAAACTGTAATAATGATAAGCACAGATTACAGTTCTGTTATATAACATTGTGTGTTAAAGAAAAAGAGGCTAAAATATTTGCAGGTGGTTTCACACCCACAGTTTGATTCGTTTTTGGTTCACTTGACATTATTATAAAATAAACAGACATTTTGGATAGATTTAACAGCTGTCATCCTGCATGCAGCAACAACTCTCACAGTTGCACATGTAAAGATAACATTTCAGAGATGTCACAGCCGATGATGGTGCACTTTATCGACATTGACATGTTTATCATCATTAACAAGAAACTTATTGCAGGCATTATAATCTGGCTCTGGCTCAGCCAGCATATAATGTTTATAACTCTGTAGCAATCAGAATTATTGTCTGAAGGCCATGAGAAATGCCCAACAGATTTCCTTTTCCAAGTGGATCATTATGGCTGAAGAGGTTCAGTGTTTTTAGTGCGTATGCCCAACAGGGTTGAATGTATATTTATATCCATATATAAGTCACACTCAAGAGAAAAGAACATAATCAGGAGTACTCACGAATCAGAAGGAAAAGATATGATCACACAGGTGGTCCATTAATGTTGTGAAGGAGGTCATGCTGAACATTGAAGTGTCAGAGGAGGATGTTAGGGATGGGGTGAGATGGAGGCAGGTGATTTGCTATGGCAACCTCTCAAGGGAGCAGCTGAAAGAGAAGATATGTTCATTAAATTGTTAAGAGGTCACTGTTATACTAACTGGGCAAAATATGCAGAAGCATGTAATAGCAACTTTTCTTTTGCTAAAAAATTAAAGCTTTTGCTCAGTTATTCCACTGTTTGTGGATTCATTTATTGGTTAGGTGTAATGTTTTCAGGTTTGGGGCTAGAGATTTCTTTTTTTTTTTTTTTTTTTTTGAGCAAGTTAACCACCTTATCTTGATTGACTGTCATCCCTCTTGGTCACAGCAGTGACAAAAAAGCCTAGCTTTTGAAATGACTTCTTGCTTTCCTGCACTCTCTCTCTCCCTCAGATTTTCATTGGTCATACAAGCACTGAGGTTTCAGTGAAGGAGAGTGATGTACAGTGTGTTAGAGCAAGCTTGTGTTGATTAAAACTTTCTCTGCTGCAGTCACTCTAACATAATTTTTTTTAATTTTGATTGGGCTTTTTTTCACCATAGAACTGGATAAAATTTCCTTGGATACATGCCAGGCCCTCCTTTTCAGGCAGAGTTGGTTAGGTTTCATTTGCACCAGAGTTTGACAGCTTTCACAAACTGCTGGCATCTATCATAGTAAACGCTTGATTACAATTTCCATGTCCTCCAGGGTTTGCTAGGGTCCAAGTGATATAAATTTTGCCATCAGATGGTGAGTGTGAGGGCAGGGCAGACCTTGATGTTCCTGCCTATTGTTTTTTGTTTGTCTTCTCCTCCCTTTTGCTACCTGACTTGTCCACAGAGAAGTGAACATCAATCTGAGTGTAACAGGAATGACTACTTGGCCATTGTCTCTACCTTTCCAGGTCCACAACAGAGTATAATCAAGGCGTAAGAGTGTGACTAAACTGAACCAAATGAGTTGGGTGTGAAATCAGCCTTACATGAATAATGAGCTGTAAACTCCCCAAACTCAATCAAATGGTGTGATATGTGATTCCCATAGTGATTCTGTGCATTATGTTCCAGGTGGATCTTCTTTCTCAGGTGAATATGTGGTGTGTTGGCATCTGGAGTAATTAGTGTGGGGTTTGTGTGTGTGTGTCATAACTTCTCTGGATAGAAGTTGGCCCAAATGTTCCAATCAGACTTTCCTGTGTAGCACAAACCAACCCAAACTGATCCCCAAAAAGCATCTTGAGGGCAACTTCATCCACATCCAGTTGTAACCTCCCTGTTTGCTCTCTGCATCTGTTTGGTCTCCCACCCACCTTCTAAAATGCTTTTACCCTCATTTGTGAATCTTCCTTGTCTCTGGCTTGCTGCTAATGAGCTCTGAAATCCTTCAAAATCTCCCGACTGTAATGGCACTCTGCCCTTCCAAAGTGCAATGGCTGCAAGAATAGATTTTCATTTTTGATTTGCTATTGGCTTTTACCCAATGCTTATTAGCCTCATCCTCTTCAATTGCCTCCATCTCAAGTTTTGTGTCACAGGTCTGGAGCCATAAAATTACTTTAAAAAGATAAGCTCGACGGCAAAGGGAAAAAAAACCTCAAACCTCAAAATGACAGGTTTTAGACATTTCTAGAAACAATCTATACAAAAATATCCTACAGTAGTGTGAAAAATTAATTATTTTCTTGCATTTTATTTACCGAACAATTGTGTTCAATAAATAAAATGGAAATTGTGAAAATAATGTCTAGATTAGAATCTTTAATGTTTGTAGTTTGTGATGATCAAATATTTTAACATCGCAATGAATTTTAAAAATTAGTTGTTGGCATTAAGCTGTACTTGCAATGGGATGTTTATAATATGCATTTATTACTTCAGCTCACACCTACATTCAGTGGTTAAACCTGTAGTTCACAAATAGCCTTTTTCCATTAGTACCTACTTGGGTTGGCTTGACATGGCTCGACTCGGTTTGTAGGTGTAATAAATGGTACCAGGTATTTTCTTTAGTACCACCTCTGCTGGGGTTCCAAGCAATCTGAGGCAAAAATCTGACGTCAGCGTATCACGTTGATGAGAGTGTCTCTCCTTCGTGAAAATCAACACCAATTTTGAAACCCGGCAATGAGGGGGCAAAAAAATAAGAACACTGTGGTCCCAGAATTTGACAAAAGGCCATACACTGAGCAGCAGGTATACTGTCGACTCAGCGTCCTCCTTTGTTGTGGGGTTTGTGTTGCATGCAAATGAGTCACGGGACCTTCGACTATGTTGCTATAATGACCCCATGTACATTTGGTGGTATTCAGTTGTAATGAAAATGACCAAAACTGCAGATATGTGATTAGGTACTAGTGGAAAAGACCTATAATTTAGTTAAAAGTAAAGTCAGGTAAAGTAAAAGATGTCCAGATGTATATTGAACAACTGAGTAGCACGTTAGAATTGGAGACAAAAATTTGACTTAAAAATTAGAAAAATAAGAACTGAGTTATGTGCAGCTACTGAGAAGCCATCACTTGGATCACTAAACTTATTGGTAAGTGGGCATGTTTGGTTAGTTCTTTTTTACCTTAGAGCACTTAATTCTGACTTTCTATTTGTGTTTGGAGGAATGAGTTGAATCAAATGAGTAGGTCTTGTTCCATTTAATTTACATTTTGCCAGACAGATGTGGCAAGGGCACATCAAAGAGGCATTAGAGGCTCATAGTATTTGGAAAATGCCACATAACTCATGGACTAATTCCTGCCTTTTTGTGTCTGCTGTCCTTCCTGTGTACTCCAGATGCTGAATAAGCTGCTTTCTCCATTTGTGTGTGTATGCTTAGTGGTGGTTTTGGCAATATTATTATAAAAAAAAGAAAAGAAAGAAAGAATAGTTGTATATCAAATAGTAATATTGAGCAGCAAACATTTGTCTTTAAAGTCATTTACACATATTTATTGCAACTTGTTTTCAATGGCTGTCTGTCCACAAATTCACTGCTGCTTTATCTGTACTCTGGCCTTTGGGTTCAGTTACACCAACAGCACTTGAGCTAAGTCAGTCATAACTTACTGTAACTTCTTGTGTAGCCCCGGTTCTCAAAGCAGCACATGTTAGATGTTTCACTTGGAGATGCACATTGCTGGGTATTCTTCAGAAGCATGATACCAGTCCTGATCTGCTGATGATCACAACAACTGTTGGGCTGAACCACTCACCCTTAAATAGCTTGCTCTATTGCACAGTCTGGACAAACGTGAGGAGGGAGGACCAGCATGTTGTGGCACAGATGCCCCTTAAACAGGGCTCGGGATGCTGCTAGACAACAAGTAAAGTGAGCTTGCAGACCAACTGGCACCTGCAGCCCCTGACTCGTATAAACACTGATAAGCCAACCCAGTAATTGAAAAGCTGAAGAACTTTGCCGAAAACTCTTTTTCCTGCACAAAAAAAACAGTCGAAATGCAAACAGGGCACATATCATTCTTTAGACGAAACCAAAGGAGACATGGAGAGATAAAAGGCACATATGAACCAATCACGTTAGGAAATGAATGCTCTCCCCTTGCAGAGGCCCAAATCACTGCTAAGTCTCCAGAGGCCATCTAGGGGCCCCTTTAAAATGTTTTCATTTTAAAGGGGCCCCCAGAAAAGGACATGCAGGATGGTTGGCCAGCTGTTTTATCCCCAAACCCTACATGACAAATAGTAATAGCAGCCCAGTAAACTTTAAATGTGCTTGTCAATCAGGTCTTAAAAGAATGACAAAAAACTACTCAAACCAGACATGGAAAGGGAATGTGACACCAATCCTCATTCTCTGTTTACAATTTTAAAGAGATCTGGTGGATTCCAAAGCATTTTAAATTGTGTTAAAACCTGTGGAAGGCCATCGGCTCTTGCACTTTTCAGCTTGTGCAACCAGTGTGAATGCAGTTCCCCCTAACATTTGAACATTTACTGATTACCCTTCCTGTAAACTGCCCCAGCTGGACAAGCTTGATTCCACAGTGACTGCTCTCTGAGACTGCACGGTGCCCACTCGGACTCCTTGCGTCAGAAAAGCTGGATGTCACCAATGGCATAATGCTATTGTGCATTCTTCTGTTACAATTACTCTTTTCTGCTGTGCACTGGGCTAGGTCTGAGATATGAGACCCAGCACTTAAAACTCCCTCCTCTATACCCAGCTGAATCAGACTACTAGGGTACCTGATGCTATAAGCCCCAGTAACAAATGCATAATCTGAAGGTACCCATTTGTGCAGGTGGTAAAGAATGAGACACGCTCTGAATGCCTTCACTTTAGTAAAGGAAACTGAGTGTCTTTTAAACTGTCTACTTCCCATTACCCCAAACCTGTTGCCAAAGATGGCTGCCCCTCCCTGAGCCTGGTTCCTCCGAAGGGTTTTTCCTCTTAAAAAGAAGTTTCTCCTTCTCACTGACACCAAGTGCTTGCTCAAAGGGGTTCATTCGATTCTTGGGATTTTCTCTTTATTGTTGTAGGGTCTTTACCTTACAATATAAAGTGAGGCAGTTGTTGTTATGATTTGGTCATATATAAATGGAATATAATTTAATTGAGTTCACGGATAACCCAGAAAAGTTATGTTGTTGACAACTTTTTCTGTGTTTATAGAAATGCTCAGGTAGGTCAGATGTATCGTGACAGCAGTGACGCAGCCTTCTGCTCTGGACATGTGAGAAAGAGCCAGTCATCTAAAAGTATAGCTAAAAAACTTGCCTACTGCCTCAGGACACTTTTGTTGCTGCTTCAGTGCAGTGTACAAAAACAATGGAACTAAGGGATTGGCCAAATGGCAGTACTGTGTACTTGTAACAGGCGCCTCAGATACCTGCTGTCAGGGTAAAATTATGTGTCCTACAGATGTAAACCAGTTTCCCTGGTGCGTTAGACATCTCAGAGATACATGAGTGACCATCCCAAATTTGTATGTTGTGAGTAAACTGTTCAGACCCTGCAGAACAGGGCAAATGCTGCTCTATGTTCACCAAATTTTTTATAATCACATTGATCTTTTCCCACACATGCCTTCTGTGACACTGATACCTCTTCCAGCAGCTGGGAATAACTGGTTTGCTGGTATTCTCTGTTACCACAGCAAGCCAAGTAATATTCAACCTGTAATGTAGCACATTTGCAGACGTTCTGCATATCTGTCCTAGCAGTGGGGGAGTTTGGTGCGCTGTCCTCTTTACCTCAAGGGGGAATGAAAATTTCATGCGTCATCCTCCTAGTTGGATATGAGGAGCTGTGAGGTGTTCTCATAGTGATCCTCATAATCTCCAGTACCTCATTCAGTGGTGCCACTGTGGCAAGGTCCATTTGAGGTTAAACTTCCACAACTCCTTGTCATCACTGTCAGTCAACATGTCAGCCCAGAGTCGACTGTTCCCTCAGGATTGCAGGAGGGCACTGTCATTTCTGCCGATTTCTGCACCAAACTAGTGAAAGAAAAGACCAACCTAGTAGTTAAGGTCAGGTTCAGTAAATACCAGTTGGTGTAATCAGACCTGAAGACTAGTGCCTGCAGTACTGCAAGTCTTTATATGTCCACTACACCTAGGTAGAGCTAAGCTAATGGAAAGCTAATTTAAGACGCCGGCCCTGCAATAAATTCTCCTTTCATGAATATTGGTTGAGATTGATGAGAGGGGAGAAAAGCTGACATAAGGAAAATTTCTTGCAGGACTGCGTGAGAAATTGGCATCTAAGTGTATATTGCCTTTGCTACTGTCTGGCTGTTTGTGTGCCTGTGTGGGTTCATTTGAATAATCTATCTTATGTTCTTGAAGGTGCTTTGGCCCCTGGCCCAGGAAAAGGAAGAGGTGCCAAACGTAAACAACAGCAGCAACAAGAGGGGACAGCTGCAGGAGCAGCTAAGAGAACTAGGAGGTACTAACTGTCCTGTATTATGATATTGCACTGTTGTATGTTCTGTCTGTTATGTATCATGTATAACAACTGGGAGGCTTGTGTTTATTATATACTCAGTTATCACTATAACATCAGCAAAGTTTATTTAAATGTGATGAATCAACTAATGTCAAATACATATTGCATAGCTAAGTTATAGCTTTCTGGCTATATGCCTGCATGATGGCCATTACTGTTTAAAACAAATATAAAATATGCATCTTTGCTTACATTATATGATTTGGTGATGGCTAAAATCCATTTAGTTGGTGAGGTAATTTGGCAAACTGGCACTTAGCATTTCCATTCTGGTTGAAGAATTCCTCAAAGTGACAGGCATAATGTCCAGGGGAAATACTTTGAGACAAAGTCAACATAGGCTTTTTTTCTTCTTTTTCCCCCTGATACACAGGCAATAGGTGAGCATTGATCAACCAGCTTAGTTTATGTTTGCAGTTAAAGGCAACCAAGGGAGTTTGATTTCGGAGTCTATTTAAGTTTTAAGGTTTAGGTAAGTCTATTCGGACACTGGGCCTCATTTATTAAAATTTCCGAGGAAATGTTCTTACCGTGTGCAAAAAAGTGGATTCCACGCAAAATTACTGTTGAAATGATTAACTGCACATACTTGGTGCAGTTAATTATACACCTATTTTGTTCTCACCACATGCATATCATAGTAAATCAGAATCATTCAGAACCAACAGCCTTGTGCACTCTCCATACAATTTGCATGTTGCCCTGCCTCCATTTCACAATATAAGTACATACTTTTGAGTGATGAGAAGCCTGTACCTCTAAGGCAAAATATAAGCAAAAAAATCTGTCCCAGAAAATTGAATGGTAGTTTTGCAGGTCCACGTAGACAGCCGGAAGAAACTGCTTTCCAAAGTGTAAGTGACAGTCATTTAAAAATAATAGTAATAAAAAGCAACACTTGGGCTGAAAACAGTACATGAGTGATTACGGACTTTGTGATGGATGGCGATATCATCACCCTGACTGCAGGGAATATACTTTCTTCTCACATGTTCATCACTCTTACTCTTGTCTGGATTATTACCTAGTCAGCAGCTCACTGTTGAGACACTGTTTCAGACACTTAGATACACCCAATAGCTGTCAGCGATCATGCTCCTGTGTCTTTAATACTAGTAATTAAGAAGGTCATTCTGCCAAGTAAAAACTGGAGATTTAATAAATCATTGCTTAAAGACGAAAGAGAAAGAAGAAAAGAGAAAACAAGTATTCAAGAATTGGAGGAAACCAATAAATCCTTTTCATTTCATTCATTTGGTTGATTCTCAATATGATAAACTTCTCAGATTAGCTGGCAGGAGGTCTTATCATCTTTTTGAAGATGCCCACTACTTTTGAGGAGACCACTCTGCAGGCAGGAGGATCTGCCAGAGGTGGAGGGGCTGGATGGGCCTGGACCCCCCCTGTCCTTGTTGGATTTTGGGGAATTTATTTAAAAAAAAAACATAGCTTGTGGGCATTTTAGTTATGGATATATAACAAATATATAGTTATATAGATGTCATAGTTATCCCTATGCATTTTTCTAATGCAAATCTATTTTGTTCCTCATGCAACTTTAACACGTGCATGCTACCATTAAATTACAACTGGTCATTCTATCTCTTTGCAGCGACCCTCTGTTCTCTGCTCAGCGGCTGCCTCCTCATGGTTACCCACTGGAGCACCCATTTAATAAAGATGGCTACCGTTATGTCCTAGCAGAACCAGACCCGCATGCTCCAGACCCAGAGAAGCTCGAGTTGGACTGTTGGGCAGGCAAACCCATACCTGGTGATCTGTACAGAGCCTGTCTGTATGAGAGAGTGCTACTGGCCTTACATGACAGAGGTATGGGTTTCAAGGACGTTCTGTTTTCTTCGTATGAACAATACTGCGCACAAGGCTTGAGCCACCCTTGAGTTCATTGTATTTTGTTTGAGGCAGTTTATTGAAACACGGACAACGAAAATGTAAATTCATTATATGAGGCAGAGTGTAGAATGTCAAGAAGTTTGAAAGTCGATATTTGGTATGATATCTTTTTCCTTCAAAACAGCCTGAACTCTCTTTGGCAGCTTTTTTGTTATTCATTTTTGCAGTCCTCGGGAGTAGTTTATCAGGCATCTGATGCAAAATTGTTACCTACAGTGAAATTGGACCCATTCCAACCAAACATGCTGTTGAAACCACAAACATCATATTGGAAAGACAATGTGATGTTTGTGCTAAAGGTATAAGGATCACAATGTCTTTAGGGACAAAAAAGTACCTAAAGTTATAACTGAAAGTTGGTCCTTTGCTAAGTTTTCTGTTATGCTTGGGCACAACACTGAATCATCCCTCAACTTAGAAACTAATGAATGTTTGAATCATTCATAGGTGAGTTGCTTAACAAATTTTTCTCTGAAAATTTTCTAGTACAAAGACTGAAACTGAATCCAAAAGTAGTTAATATCTTGATGTTCAGAAAGTACAACTGTTGCTCAAAACCACTTTTAAAAAACAAATTACAAAAAAGTCCGGTTCCTTGAACACAAAATTGAGTGAGGTTATAGGTGACTCAAGACTTTTCATGGCACTTTACTTTATGCTGTGTATGAATAAGTATGTTTATGTTGCAGCGCCTCAGTTGAAGATCTCTGATGACCGCCTGACAGTGACTGGGGAGAAGGGTTATTCAATGGTCCGAGCTTCCCATGGCGTCCGGAAAGGCGCCTGGTACTTTGAGGTGTCTGTTGATGACATGCCTCCAGAGACCGCAGCCAGACTTGGCTGGTCTCAACCACTTGGTCAGTAGTGCTTTGTACTCATACAAATATGATTACATTTACATCTACAATATCGTTTGTGTACAGAGTAGGGCTGGGCCATATTATACCGTTCACGGTAATACCGGTATAATGTTAGGCAATGATAGGAAAATGAAATATCGCGATAGAATATGAGTAAAACGCGCATGCGCAGTGCCTTTGTTTTCATACGCACATGGCCAATTGTTGAGTGAAACAGATGAACCAGAATTGGTTTGTAAAAATGGTGCAACTTCCGTGATGTGGAACTGGTTTGGTGTTTGTCCGTCAGATACACGACAAAGCACATTTTTTTGCAGAACATGCAAGCGGCCGTCGTTATTGTCGTATTTGTCGGACTAAGATGCTCTTAAATCTGGGAGTAATCTGGGTCCTAAACTCCGTATGTTCAGGTCAAACAACACTGCAGCATCACTGAGAGTTAAAAACTGTCTAAATTCTTTCATCTTTAATAAAACGATCAGCATTGCTGCTTTACCAGGTGTAACTATGAAGTTTAACTTCCAGGCATCCATGAAAACAAAATGTTATTACATTTAACGGAGTTAGAAGTTAGCAGGAAGCTAGCGGAAGTTAGCTCGCTAGTTTCGCTAGTTACCTAAGCATGATATAGCATGTTCTGACTGAGAGATTTCTGAAAAAAATCAAACGTACAGCTCTGCTATCACTTCCAACATAAATGAAGACAGGAAACTAAACAGCAGTGACGTTTGTAGGGTTACTGAAGTTGGGCTAGCTGGTATATAATGATGTGCTACGTGATCGCTAGCGACACAGCTATGTTAGCATAACATAAACAGTGAAGCTGGAGGACGAACACTAACACTTTTCCACTTATAAAAGTTAACGTGAAGGTTCCTCATGGTTAGAGACAAATGCAATCGCATGGCAGGATGCTGTAAACGGACCAAACTTCAGTCAGGAGAACAACTGAGATAATCCATCCACAATACGAGGTTAGTCATTAATATACTGCAACAACATGGGAATAGAGCAGCTGCCAGAGAATTCAACATTAATGAATCAATGGTACAGAAGTGGAGGAAGCAAGAAGAATGAGTTTAATAAAGTTTGATTTATCTGACTGCTTTGTTTCGCTTAATGTGCCTTATAATCCCGTGCACCTTATGGTCCGAAAAATACGTACTGCACACTGCAGTTTAATGTTGCAAAGCACCTCTTTTTAACTTCAGTGGATATTATACATGGTTATGCTCAGGATATGTCAGCCCATTTCTACTGGAAATGCCTTTTGGTTAAACTTTCAGCAAGGAATTTGCATTTGCACTGTTACATTTTTATAAAGCTTTAATGTACATAAAAACCAGCTTCTTGTTTAAGTGAAAATAAATGGAAGGTTGTCTTTTTGCGCTAGTAATGTTGTGGAGTTGTATTTTGTCTCGCATCAATTATATCGTCGGTTATATCGTTATCGCAAATTTTCAAATATATATCGTGATAAATATTTTTGGCCATATCGCCCTGCTCTACTACAGAGTAGAAAGACATATACAATGGCATTAAAATAATATATAATTATAAAGTCTCATCAATTGACTGTAGATTAGATTAATAAGAGTTTACAAGGTTATCATAGTTCAGTAAAGCTAAACTAAAAATACAAACTTGGGTGTGGAAAGATATTTTTCTTAACTTGTAAAAGAATAAAAACTAATTTAAAGAAAATTATATAGTGTATCTGAAAAATTAACTAAAAGAAATGTATATTTTGTGCATTGAGGCAGGAATGTCATCACTGTGGGTCAATATCATTTAAGTGTATTGTGATAACCAGAGCCTTCATTCTGATTTAAAAACTAAAACTATAGAAACAATTGTTTGTTACAAAAACTAACAAATTGAAAATCAAATTTTAATACAGAAAAAAATGAAATGATGGAAAGAAAAAACAATGGCTTATATTAGACCTTTAGATTTCCCTTAGTGATGACATTTTGTCACAGTAGTAATCTTGCTCAAAAGGACCACAGATTCAGGTTTGGGTCGGTCAGGTGTGTGCTCGGCTGAAGAGCAAGTGTGACACTCCGTTCATTAGACTTATAGCTGAACTGCCAAGTCAGGCTCAGGCTGTTTAAATTGAGGCTAGGGTGACGTCTAATGATGGTTTGCAGGGTGCCAGGAAGATTTTATGGTGTTTAAGGCCCTGGGGTCTTGTCCTCTGCGCATGGTGATGTCTGGGTCTTCTGTACTCTTGAGGACCCATGCAGGGCTCAGATCTCCTGGATCTCTGGCTTCTCACTCTTATCATGATTGTTATGTAATAAATATATTAATGTGAATAGTATTTATTTATTTAATTTATTTATTTATGTTTAAGGAAAAGAAATTGAGTAGCAGGAGAGATTTGTAGAGCTACCCTTGACAAAGCAAATGTGTTTGGCACATCAGAATTCAGTTTGCCTTTGGGCTCTCAAAGCTGTGCTCCTGAGATAGTAATTATATTGGGGCTACCTGCTGTTACTGCCGATCTAATGGTAAATGGCCTGTATTTGTATAGCGCTTTTACTACAGAGCAATTTTCAGTTTTTGGACAATAAAGATTAGTTGTATATACATTAACACGTTCAAAATGCACAACATGTACATTTAATGTTGGCTTTGGCTCAGGAGGTAGAGTAGGTCACAAGACTGGCAGGGATATTAAGATACTAACCCCAAATTGCTCTCCATTGTTTCCATCGGCGTGTGACTGTTGGATAGAAAGCACTTAAGCATAGAAAAAAAGTGGTCAGTTGATCATTAGCACCTGTTTTTGTTTTTATGTGCATTAAAGTTATATAAAAATGTGTACATAAAATCGTTTCCAGGTCAGTAAACACACCCAGAATTCATACATAAAGCACACGGGATTATAAGGGGCACTGTCGATTTTCAGAAAAATCAAAGGATTGATTTTAAGTGTGCCGTATTTTCCAAAAAACACGGTAATAACGACGGCCCGCTAGCATGCTCTACCAAAAATAGTACTTTGTTGTGTATCTGACGGACGAAAGCTAAACCAGTTCCACACTGAAGTTGCACCATTTTTACAAACCAATTCTGGTTCATCCGTTTCATTCAACGATCCGCTTTCGTCCGCCATGCTTTTTCTGCCATGTGCCTATGAAAACAAAGGCACTGCACATGCAAGTTTTACCCATATTCTATCACGATATTTCATTTTCTTATCGTTGCCCAACATTATACCAGTATTACCATGAACTGTATGATATGACCCAGCCCTAGTGTATACTGCGTCTTATGTAGTGACTTCGGGGACAGCATTCAGCCACCTCTGTGGCTCCTAACTAGAATGGAGGCTAAGAAATTCACAAACCTCAAAATTTTTCTTTAATGAGTATCTGCCATTATTATGTATTGATATATACATCAGAACAGGTCCTCTTTTTCCTTTCAGCTTTAAGGTTTGTTTGTCCTTACTCATGTTTCAGTTAATATGTATTCCCTTCAATTTAAATAATAAATTGTGTTGTCACTCTTTACCAGAGTGGATAGTGGATATCATTCTTTGGCATAATCTGGCAGCCCTAATATAGAGTTAGATACTCAGCTGCTTTGACAAAATGTTAATACCACAATATGTAACATGTTGGATCTTATTTATAACTTAGGTAACCTGCAGGCGCCTCTGGGTTATGACAAGTTCAGCTACTCTTGGCGCAGTAAGAAAGGGACGCGGTTTCACCAGTCAATAGGAAAACATTATTCCTCAGGCTACAGTCAGGGAGACACACTGGGCTTCTTCATAGAGCTGCCTGAAGACACAGAGACAGCGAAGGCTCTGCCTGATACATACAAGGACAAGGTAACCGCAGCTACATCAGCTGCACTTCTGATTTCTTCTTGTGTTCAGCATTGCATTTCTGTCACATGCAGTTGTATCAAAATGGTCCCAAGAGCTTGGCTGTGTTTCATTTGTCCACCTCCCATGTTACTTATACAAGAGAGATAAATGCCAATCAGATTTATACCACTGGATACCACTGCCAGTATTTTTTAAAGGAACAGCAACTGTTGGAATGATAGATGTGTTCTTCTGAGCCAGAATTTGTGTTGTAGAAATAACACAAATTAACAGTATTATTACTAGGCTGGAGTAAATAAAAAAATAAATAAAATAATATAAATATATATTATTTTTCCTCATTATGTTTTCATGTCTTTCTTGGACTAGTTGCATCTAAAACCAGTTTCTCTTTTCAGGCACTAATTAAGTTTAAGAGTTACCTGTACTTTGAGGAGAAGGACTATGTGGACAAAGCAGAGAAAAGCCTCAAGCCAATGAGTCCCAGCAGGGTTAGAACATTTTTTCAAAATTAATTCCAGTGGAGAAAACCTACTGTCATTTTCCACTACCTACCTCTTATTGGCCCGGCTCTTGTTTTTCAGATGATTTTCTACAAAAATGGAGTGAACCAAGGTGTTGCCTTTGAAAACCTGTTTGAGGGCATCTACTTCCCTGCCATCTCACTATACAAGAGCTGCACAGTGAGTACACATGCACATTTGATGATTTATTTGATTTTAAGGTTGGAAAGGGGGTTTGTTTTTTTTAAGTATACCCTTACCTCTCTTCAGGTTTCTGTCAATTTTGGACCCCACTTCAAATACCCTCCAAAGGATGTCAAGTACCAGCCGGTGAGAGCTTCATACCTTTTAAGATTCCCAACTTTCTCCAGATGATCTTGAAACTTCCTCTGAGTCATTGTTTGATTACTTTCAGATGAGTGACATGGGCTGGGGAGCTGTGATCGAACACACTCTGGCTGACATGCTGTACCATGTGGAGACTGATGTGGATGGACGACGTAGTCCTCCATGGGAGGGATGAAAACATTGAACTGACTATACACACACCCCTGAGTCAAAAACGTTGTTCAACCTTTAGATAGCCAAAATGAAAACACTTCATGCCTGCATTAAACTGTAGGTCAAATAAGCAGCATTTCAGCTCTTGCAATATTAAAATATCGTCAGCAGTATGGGCTGAATGAATTCTTCCTAGACATAAAACATTTAAAATGACACCGAACTGTGGGCTGCATATCATTGTTACCATAGGGCGAAGTTCCATATCAGGCTTTTCTGAATTAGTTTACTTATGGTGCTCCGGTTTCAAATGTGTATAATTTAAAGTTGTTATGCTTTAGAAAGGTTTTAGTTCAACACATTTTTGGCACCATGAAGTTGTGTGTGTTGTTGCAGCCAAACAGAGCCAATTCACCATTTCACTTATTGTCTAAATGAAAGTCTTTGTTATTGTCTCTTTTGGGTGAATTTTATTTGTTTGTGTTTTTTTTTACACTGGGTTAAATTTAATTAAAAAATCCCACATCCAAGTTGATCTGATTAATTAAATCTGTTTTTTGTTGAATGGTCTTTTTGGTTCACCCAGCCTTTTTCTAAGGAGCTGCTTTACTGGTGAACTTTGAAATTATTTGTATCTATGATGTACAAAGACTAATTTATACACAGTTTCTCTCCTATACTGTGTCTGAATGAGCTGTAATGAACACCATCATTCACCCACTACCAAGGAAAATGTTCAATACCACTGGGAAGATCTTGAAAAAGGTATTTTTCCCAAATTAGAAGTCAGATTTAAGATTAAATTTATAGCTTTTATAAAGTTTTACAAAAAAAAATATTGCATTACAGAGAGTGAAGGTGAAATATATTTTAGAACCTATTATCACACAGGGTACAAAAAGCCAGTATAATACCTATCATCTGAACAATTTATTTATTGTAAAAGAAGAGCTTTGTGGAAAAGTTACAAATGTACTTTATCAAAAGTCACTGCCTGCATTTTAAAACTGGCCACATCAAAATAAACATTTTAAAAATTATTGTAAAAGCAAAAAAAGTTAAAGTTGTCCACAGTCGCCTGCAGCCTCTTTCTCATTCACTGGCCACACTGCTCTGTTTCAGTGTGCAGCTTTCACCACCTCTACTCTTCAGGCCTAAAACCCATTTGATTTTGCTGCGCTCCCACAGATGTCATTCATTCTTTGCTCAGATTGGTTCTCCAAGCTCTGGGTGCTGCTCAGTTTAGCTACAGTTCCCCTGCTGCTTCATGCAACCAGTAACTCGCCTGGTTGTGTGTCCATAATCCATTGCCAAACTAGTTTAAGCTGAGCATAGTTGTCTAAGCTAACCAAACACTTAGTGCTGCCTGTAGCTAATTGTGCGATTTGGAAGAAAAAAAACATCAAGAGAGAGCAAAGTGGCAGCTAGTAAACTTCCACAATGATAGCCCTAGTATTTGGCTTTGATGCGGACGGCTGCAGTTCGTCCCACTCCCACTGTAGAGTAGAACAGAATAGAGTAGGCGTCCATGTGAAGCTCAGCCTGTTGTGGAAGCGAGGCCTGGTTAGCAAGCAAGCGTTTCTGGTTAACTATGCTCAGACCATTTCCCCTGCGGAGGAGTTTTTCTCACACGTCCGTGCTTGGATACGTTGGGCATTACTCTGTGAAAAGTGCTACCTAGTTAGTTGGCCTTTCTATTTTGGAGCCTTTATTGTTTCTGTTATATCTTCCCCTCTTCTTAGCAGAGATAAGGCATGCCCTTAAAGGTGCTCAAATTGTGCTGAACATGACATCTAATTAAATATCTCTTTTAAGCTCCAAGATTTTTCTAAAGGCATCCAAATAGATGCTTAGACTCTATTAAAAGTTGGATGGCTGACAATTTTTCCCAACCTAAATCTTCATTTGTGTCCCTGAAAGATACCTGAGATAACACTAGGTCCCCCTTGCCTCTTTACTTTTACCAGGAACCTTGCTTAACTGCTGACTTGGCTTTGAGTTTTTATGTTTATGTCAAATATCTGGTTCAAGCTTGCTTTTTTAATTTAAAAATTATTAGAAGTTAATGTCTTGATGCATGCTCCATCCAGGTAAAGAAATCCCAAAAGGTCTGAACACGTCTGGACGTCCAGGTGACCCATTTAATCCAGATAATTCCACATAATTTATTATTAAGATGACATTTATTATATTGGAATTGTTAAAAAAAATACTAGTACTATATACTATATATACTAGTACACTTGTTTAAAAATTCAAGTACTTTTTAAAAAGTTGGGATGGTGTAAAATTATTCATTTGTTTTACCTGAGAGAAGCAGAAAATGCTAATACAGATTAGGTGTAAGGAAGACAATGAAAACACAAAATAAATGCCTGCTGTGCTGCGATTTAAAGGGAAGAACCCTTTGCTACAATGACTTGTTGTTTTTTGGTGTCTTTGTTGTAGACTTTCCTGGGATTCAGGGCAGAGTTATGTATTCCTGATGAGCTGTAGCCCTCACTGGACAACAGGTTCTCTCTGCTTCCGTCAGAATCTGAATGATGCTGTTTGAGTGAAAAGAGGAAAGATATCTTCAGCTTTCCACAAAGGGCACACATTTTGACAGAATGTATTTTATGTCCTTACGTTTTTGCGAAAGATTCGGCGCAGCAGGCTGCGTTTGGGGCTCTCTGGGGCCTGGGACCAGTCGAGATCTGGAGATGCAGATCCCTTAGGGCCAAAAACATTCAGTTCTTCAAAACATCCCGTTTCTATTAGCTACATGGAAGACAGAGAAGGAAGGTGAGGTTTGAAGCTCTTGTCTGGATTAACCCTGGTAATGTAACCTAGAACTTGCCTCATTTTGCCAAATTATGGAATTGCTTCCTGTGTTGAACTGGGAGTAGAAGAAGCTGTCAGTCTGGTCAAAATGGACTCCTTTCACTGTAGAAAATTCTTCTATGTCCTGTACATCAGTGCAGTACACCTGACTGGGCTAAAAATAAAAGACCACATGCAGTGAGTACAAATTTAAATGGCTTTAAGATTGTTAAAATGAACACTTCTACATTTGATCAGTTTTTATTTAAGTACTTTACATACTCTTTAAAAACCAAAGTCACTTGACAAGATATTTCTTACATCGAAAACACTACATCCAGCTAAATGGAATCCAATTTAAATACATAAATGTAATCCTGTATGTATGTATGTATGTATGTATGTATGTATGTATGTATACATATTCAAAATTCAAATTTATACACACACATATACATACACATCTAGATATCTGTCTCTATCAATCTATAGATATAGATATCTCATTTGGGTACTTACATCAGGTTTAAATGGAGGGTCAACGCGTCCTGCCTCCAGCATCCGAAAGTTGATCTCTTGGAAGAAAGGATGAAATTTTACATCTTTTCCCCCAGACGTCTGGGAGCCCAGCCTCTTTGTGGGGTCCTTGGTCAGCAGCTACAATAGTGGAAAGAAAGGTGTTCTCATTGCTTGAAGGATGTAATACAGCCTCTTCCGAAATTGGGGTTAGGATTTAGGCTGAAAAGCACATGTATGCGTAGTAAATCTCTAAGGTGTAAGCAGCAACCCTGAACCTATTCTATTAGAATATGACTTGGCTTTTGGAAATTGTTGTACTGTCTTAACAATCTGACATACATCAGGGGATAAAGGTATGATGTGGATGAAAGAACATCTTCTGTGCATGCTGAAATAAAAATAGTTTCATTTTGAAGAACTCACTGAGGAGCAGATGTCTTTTGTCTCCTTGCTGAACTGGTTGCCATATTCTTCATGTTCATTCTGAATCCTTCTCTCCATTTCTGAGGATTTAGGCTGTTCTCCTTTGGCCCTGAAAGGGGGCCGACCTGCAGTCATTTCATAAATCAGACACCCGAGGCCCCACCAGTCCACACTCATTCCATAACGCTCATAGCCGATCACCTCAGGAGCTGAAATGGGAATGCAAATGAATAATCTTTTTATGCTTTGCTGCTGTTACTTATTGCCAAGGCAATATTCTTGTGTACTCTGTAAGTCTATATTTCCATGTCGTGAAAATTATTAAAAACCAAACCCTGACTAGTCTCGTAGTTCCTGCTCCTGAAAAACAACCCCAGAGAATGATGCTGCCACCACCATGCTTCCCTGTAGCAATTGCATTCGTCAGGGGATCATTGCTGCCTAGTTTCCTCCAAACATGACACTTTAAGGATTTCAATCATTGTTTCATCAGACCAGAGTTTTATTTCTCATTGTCTGAAAGTACTTCATGTTCCTTTTTGCAAAACTCCAGGAAGGCTGTCATGTGCCTTTTAATGACAATTGGCTTCCAACTGGCCACTCTACCATACAGACCTGACTGGTAGAGTTCTGCAGAAATGATTATCCTTTTGGGAGGTTCTCCTCTTTCCACAGTGCAATGCTGGAGCTCTGCCAGAGTGAACATTGGCTTCTTGGTCAGTTCACTGACTAAGACCCTTCTACCCCGATTTAGATCAGATTGGCTGGAGTGCTTCCACAGTTCTTCCTTTTACGTATGATGGAGACTGTTGTGCTCATTGGGAACTTAAATACTGCTGAAATCTTTCTGTACCTTTCACCAGATCTGTGCCTTAATAAAATCCTGTCTCTGAGGTCTACAGACAATTCCTTGGACATCATGGCTTCATGTCCCAGTAACTTTACCACAGGTGGAGTCCAATCAAGTCATAGAAACATCTGACCAGTGCACCAGGATTCAACTCACTTTGGAGTCTTATGGCAAAGTCTGTGGGTAGTTAAGTTACAGTTTTGTTTTGTTTTTTTAATAAAATTGCTAAAAAAAAAAAAAATTCAAGCTAATTTTTTTCACTTTGTCAATATGTGGTATTGTGTGTAGAGGTGAAACAAATGAATTTAATCAGTTTTGGAAATAGGCTGTAACATAACAAATGTGGAACAAGTGAACCACTGTGAACATTTTCTGAAAGCACTGTAGACATAAAGTCATAATAGGTTCTTTTTTCCCATCCAGTTGACAGCATCAGGTAATTTGAAAGTTTTAAACTATTACAATACAAGAATTCAGAGATTCTACATTGGAGACACCAAACAGCCATCCTATCAATGCATGGCACAACATAGCAGGACAAGACCAGCTAAAGATCTGAGCCTAAAGGTTAAAGGTCAATCTTTTGAGGATGCCAATTTTCATATTCTGAACTGAGAAGACAGATTGTTTGAAAGAGGAGTAAAAGATGCCATCTATTTTCACTGTGAATGACCATCACTGAATAGAGGGGGTGGCTTGTGACACCAACTGTCAGTCACATACAATGCAATTTTAAGATCTATTCCCAGGTGCCTCAGGTTTCTGTTAACCTCAGGTTAATAGGGTGAGCCAAGGTATCACATTAGTTTCTCTCAAAACCTCTGCTGGTCATGATCCATGCCTTTTTCTCACCTTGGCTCATGTGACACAATTAATAGTGGGTCAACAACCCTTTTAGTGACAAGCCCCACAAGGATTTAGATACCTGGGACTCATTTGGTTTTAGAACTGAAGACATTTTCTGGATGAGAGGTGAAACATCTTCAAGAAACTTAAAGAATTCCAATTCCTTTCTTTCAAAGTTCCTTAGAAAATAGCAAAATCACCATTTGCTTTGCTTTGATTTTATTGACAGTTGTTTGATTTTTTGTTTCTGTTGTTTTTCTGATGTGTTAAAACAAACAATCAGGTCTACAAATCACCAACTCCCAGCACAATGCAAACTGCATCAATTAAATTTCAATTAGTGACTTTGTGATGGATAAACTTACATAGATAAACTCTATGTAAGTACTTAAGCAGTCCATCCATCTGTGTGCAGGCCAGTAAGCACCACTGAGAGGTATGGATAAAAGTCATACAATCATAAAAATAAATTGCTTTGTTTTCCAACACACTCATATAATCTAGTGATTTATGTGGGTCTGTAGAAGTTCCATACATACCCATATAGCCCAGTGTGCCCACCCTGCCTCGTACTAGACTCCCCTCAGACATCTTCACAGCCAAACCCAGGTCAGAGATGCGGATGTGTCCTTAATGGAACAAAAAAAGTAAGATTAACTGAATTGGCATGGTTGTTGTGATTATTTTTCTCACATACTTTCACTTTTGCCCTGTCAAGTTAGGGTTCACTTTTCTCCAGCTGACACAATGGGAAACTACAACTGTTGCTTTTATTCCAAGAATGAAGGAACAGGTGTGGAAGTTTCTATAAATAGATAACAGGTTTTTTTACTTCCTCAAACTACTTTTCTTTTTCTTTTTTTTTTTTACCCCTGTCAAAATACAATCAACACAGATTTTTCTTGAGAGCAGGTGGATGCTTCTGATAGGCTGCATGACCAAATATGTGGCATTTCAAACAGTCAGATTATTTTCAGAGTTAAAAATAGCAAGAAAGTAACTGCCAGCTTTTGCTATGTGTGGATGTTGGAATGCTATCTGCTTGGATGTTACTGTAATACATTTGAGGCTATTTATTGTACATGAATGATTAAAAAAACACTGTTTTGTAGTTGCGCATACCATTGTCATCCAAGAGAATGTTCTCTGGCTTCAAATCTCTAGAAGAAACACAGCATTTAAAAACTTCTTCCCGACTAGTAGAGATGTGATTTAATGCATGTAGAAATACACTTACCTGTATAATATTGACTTCTGGTGGAGGTGAATTAAACCACAGCAGACTTCTGCAGCGTAGAAACGTACCCTGTCTTTGGTCAGACCAGGTGACCCCATGCGATGTATGTGAAACCCTAGGTCACCGCCGTTCATCATGGTCAAAACCATACAGAGATTGTGCTTGGTCTCATAAGCATATGCCAGATTCACCTGAACAATAAAAAAATAAAACAAAAATAAGAAAACAAAACTCACTAAGGCATCAGCAATACTATAAATTCAGCTTTTACAAAATACTTGAAACAATTCAGTATAATTCAGTGCAGAACACCACTCGCTATGAAAGAAAGCCAATCATAAGGATTAAACATTATCCTTAACCTCCTAGGACCTGGCATCCACATATGTGGACATCACATTTTGGGTTATTTAGACCAAAATACTCAATTTTGCTCTATATCCACTTATGAGGACATTATACTGCTACTGTGCTATCAAAATGTTAAATGAATATCCTCATATGTGGCTCTCATTTTTCTTAGAAACAAAAATCAGGTAAAAAAAAAAAAATCTGGTAATTCTTTGTTTTTACATTAATTGGGTCCCAATCAGCCCAAATATCAAAGAGAAATTAAAAATGCATGTCATGGAAGAGTTCCGGTCTTAGGAGGTTAAAAGAAACTGCAAATACACATTTTAGAAAAATGGAGTTGTGCTCACTGATTATAAAAACTGGACATCATTCTTAAGAAAAATAAGACTATTTGATCACGAAATTCATCTGAATCAGTAGATCAGTATAAACAGAATTCTGTCTGACCGAGGTTGCTTTTGAACTTGTTCTCTCCCTGATTATTTTATACTCAGCTATATTGCTGAGACGAGGTATAGTGGCACCAAGAAAGTCCTTGGTTTGAATCCAGTCCGAGGCCTTTCTGTGTATAGTTTGCATGTTCTCTCTTCATCTGCATGAGTTCTCTTAGAGTTCTCAGACTTCCTTCCACAGCTCAAAGATGATGATGAGTCTGAATAGTTGTCTGCCTCAATGTTAGCCCTGTTAGTCCAGCCTCTCATCCTGTGATGGATGCGATAGGCTACAGCCTCGATGTAGTGGATAAAAGCAGAAGAGGATGGATGGATGGAAGAAAATTGATGGATGGATGTGTGTCAGAACATGTATAAAACCTGTTGAATGATGTGATGAGTCTCTAATTAAGCATATATAAATAGTAGATCGACTGGTTCTTATTAAGTACTTTTCTGCCTAACTTGAGCACTCAAGGATAGGTGAGTATGCAGACAGGAGCAACCAACCTTCCAGTTAATGATTGACCTGCTCTACCTCCTGAGTCACAGCCACTTCTTCTGTGTCTTTTATAAAACATAGAGAAGAGTTCATGTCCATTATCCCTATCCCAACTGTGATAAGGTGAAAGATGGGGTATACCCTATACAGGTTTCCTATCGGTGTCACAGGATGAACTTCTCTTCACTGTAAAAATACCTTGTATAAACATTCAGTAAAGATCATTTTTGTTAAATGATTTGTTCAAACATTTGGCAGCTGGAGTTTTTAACAAGTGTCAGTTATGATGGAATTATAAAGACTATTTTGAATTGCTTATTAATGTCTAGTTCGGTGTGAGCTTAAGCTTTATTAATCTCTGTCTCTCTTCCACAGCATGTCTTTTATCCCGTCTGGGGCGATCATGGCTCAAGAGTTGGGAGATCACCTTGTAATCGGAAGGTTGCCGGTTTGAGCCCCGGCTCCGACAGTCTCGATCGTTGTGTCCTTGGGCAAGACACCTGACCCTTTGCCCACCTACTGGTGGTGGTCAGAGGGCCCGGTGGCACCAGAGGGCCCGGTGGCGCCCGGTGGCCCGGCAGCCTCGCCTCTATCAGTGCACCCCAGGGTGGGTGTAGGGTTGATGGCACCCCAGGGTGGGTGCCATCAACACACTGTTGATGGCAAATCAACAGTGTGTGAATGTGTGTGTGAATGGGTGGGTGACTGGATGTGTAAAGCGCTTTGGGGTCCTTAGGGACTAGTAAAGCGCTATACAAATACAGGCCATTTACCATTTACCGTCTTCTCTCTCTCTCCCCAACCAGTCGTGGCAGACGGCCGCCCCTCCCTGTGCCTGCTGGAGGTTTCTTGCTGTTAAAAGCGAGTTTTTCCTTCCCAGTGTCGCCAAAGTGCTTGCTCATAGGGGGCCATATGATTGTTGGTTTTTTCTGTGTATCTATCATTGTAGGGTCTACCTTACAATATTAAAGTGCCTTGAGGCAACTGCTGTTGTGATTTGGTGCTGTATAAATAAAATAGAATAGAATAGAATAGAATAGAATAGAATTGAATTGAATTGAATTGAATTGAATTGAATTGAATTGAATTGAATTGAATTGAATTGTAGTCACAGTGTAACTCAATAACAGTGTATATGTTTATTTTAAAGAAGAAAGAAATATCAACCATTGTAACAGTGCAGGTCATGGATTTGCTTTTTAAGAATAACCCAACTTTGCTTACACAGATAACACTGGTTAACAAACATACTGATTTTAAAAAAAAATGAACAAGGCAATGTGAAAACCATCACAATGAACAAAAACTAGTTTGAAAATGTAAAAAAAATTGACAAATTAAAAAATGATGCAAATATTTGAAGAGCACAGCAGTCTCACCACAAAGCGACTGTCCAGTTCCTGTAGTATCTCTTTCTCATTGAGAGCCATGTCCTCTCTTTTCCTCTTCTTTACATGGGTTTTTTCCAGCTTTTTGCAGGCATACATCTTGCCTGTGGCTCTCACCTGACAGGCCCACACCTCAAGACAGAATAACAGGATTGTAAGACAATAACACCCTTGTGATAAATTTGTATCTAATGCTGTTGCCAGTATCAGAGCTGTTCAATTTGTCAAAAAAGAATAGGTTGCTGCAAAGTGAAAGTATACTAATATATGTAAGGGAACTAAAGAGTAACAGAGATGTAGAACTGTGTTGTGAAGGTCTAAGTCCATGAATTCCCCCAAGGGAATATGTATGTAAAATAAAAAATAAAAAAACTACCTTCATTTTGATACACCGTGGGTAAAGACATACCTCAAAAACATATACCATAAAGTGTCTGATATGCTAACACTGTGTCTTAGAGTAAATCCCAAAACATACATACCGCTCCAAACCCTCCTTTCCCCAGTAGTCTGTACTGTCGAAATGTTTGCTTCATGATAGGCTGCCTTGAAAGAGACAGACATGTTGTTTTCATTTGAAATATTTTTGTAAATAAATTTTTTAAGAAGAACTGTAAACAGCAGCTACTTGGCTAACCACTGATCCATGAAACAATTTGTCTCATACCTTTGTTGGGCATACACATTTACTGACCTCTCCAACTGTTTCCATTGTAGAAAGCGGGCAAAGAACATGCTGTCCTGGTACTGGGTGAAGGGCTCGTTGCTGAGGTATTTATGTAGGTCTCTAATCCACAAAAGAAAGATGAACTCCATCTGCTCCATTGGTCAACAGTTTTCAACAGCATGCGCCACACTTTAGAGAACTGATTCTGAAAAGCAGTTCTTCTATTGGCTACTGTGTATATCCCAGTAATTTAGCAAAATTAGAAAAATAGTCATCACATCAGGCCAGCAAAACTCCAGTTAAGCCAGTAGTTAAAATTATATACAGTCAGTATAGTGCAGTGTTATGGTTAGATGCATTCAGATGTGTTTGATTTGAGGAAGATTTGGGCATGGATGTCCCAGAAAATTCACACAAAAAATCTGACTGTGCAATACTCAAAGAAATTACAAAACACACAAAAAATACATCTCAGACTCTATAGGCCTCTGTTAGCATGCTAAATGTTAAAGATTTACAACAGTACAATTAGAAAAAGATCTAATAAGTGTTGCTTCCCAGGAGAAACTTGCTTCTCTCTAAGTAAAATATGGCATAGCTGAAGATAAATCTGAAACCCCTAAACCTTCTGGAACAATGTCCTTTGGACAGACAAAACCAAACTGGATACATTTGGCCACAATGTATAATGCCAGATTGGTGAAAATAACCTTCTTCACCAATGCAACCACAGGACCTGGGCACTTTGCAGTCATTGAGTCGACTATGAATTCCTGTGTATACCAAAGTATTCTAGACTGCATTGAGTTCCCTACAAACTTGTTTTAACATGACCATCTATAAGCAGACCAGAGAGATATAACTTACTCCCTGCAGCCATGAAAGACATCACCACAGGGATTGAGCTCCAGACTCTGTTTGCAGCTTCTTTCATGCATCAGTAGGATGGACACACACTCACTGGACTGAGGGAACATGATACACTTGGATAAAGTGATGTGTAGCATGATATAAGAATTCTTGTTTCAAACTTCAGAAGAGAAAATAATGAAAGAAAAATATCCACGGTTGTAAACTATCAACCATGTTTTCTACAAATGTTTTCACACCTGCTTCATGAGGAATCTCTGGATGATCCTGTTCCCAGACTCTTTCCTTTTGTCATCTGACTGAATGTCAAAGTTGTCCTAAAGAAGAAAATAGGTATTAAGATTTGCATATGTAGATGCAGAGTCTATATGTACAGGTTAGTTCTTCAAAGGGTTTAGACAGTAAAATCTAGTATCAGACAGAAGGTCTGATGTCAGTTTTTCTGAAGTAATTTGAGCTATTTACTGCAAAAAAGTGAGCAGACATACAGATGCTCACACATGAAGCAAATCACCAGTAAATTAAATGATTTAGTTCATTCACAATCTGTAAGTCGTGCAATAAACTTAAAAAGATCTTGTGTCAATGAATAATTTATTGTTTACAAAATGTTGTGTAAACTCGGGCGGTTAAAATGTTTTAGAGAAGCACACTTCTCATCTAATTTCTCAGGTTTAATATTGCCTTTGAGACTACCTACTGTAGCCTGGATGTGATTACTTGCCAGTTGAAGTAACGGTAAAAATATTAGGGTTTTTTTTGTTTGTTTGTTTGTTTTGAAACATTTGCCAGTGTTGCAGTGGTTAGCCACTTGATAAGGCAATCAGCTGCCGCTTAACGCTGGTGCTTTGAGTGTTTTGAGGGTCAGGCTCATTAGATACTACCTGTCCAGTAACACTTTGTTTCTGCACAGGATACAAGGTTATATGAGCTGTTGTATCTACAAGAGTCACCCTCTTGTGCACTGAAGTCCAAAATTTCTTTTTTACTCAATATGAATATACCAGAGTTAAATGTGGCTGATGTTTTTTTTCTTATCATTTAATAATGCCGCGTGTCTCATGCATCATTATCCATCAGTAATCAAGAAAGAAAGAAAAAAATAACAGATGGAAATTCCAACATGCTATAGATTATTTTGATGTTATATTATATGTGTTATGGTGTAATTCTTCAAGTATATTTTCAGTTCTCAGTTTTCTAATGTTCTTCATGTTAGTTTCACATTTGTTTTGCTCTTAATCTCTTATCTCTCGTTTAATATTTTTAAAAAGCGCACTGCACTGCAATGTCATTACTTAAAACACACAAGAGCAATGCAACTCTAGCTTCTGAAATAATTACTGATATTTAAGTGCCATTATTTTCAATATTTCTAAGGACTCAAATTCCAGTAAAAGAATTTTTCACAGTTTGTACCAAAGCATCTTGGAGGGAAATGTAGTTCTGGAGATCAGGCTGACTCTGACAGAAGAGCTGAAACAGTTTCTTGCCAATAGGCTGCTTCACACATAGACTATAGTAGTCTCGTTCTAATGGAGAAATATAAAATAAAATATATGGTGTGAAATCTCACAAAGAACCAGAACTTGTTCACACTATTGAAACACACTTGCAGATACACACCTATGTTCATGGCCAGGTCTTTGCACTGGCTAATGTGGGGAAAGCGAAGCATTTCTTTCCATTTCCAGCTCCTTCCTCCACCTACAGACAGTGGGGACACAGAAAAGGAGTTCTTTAGTGTTGTGAATATGCATACATGCCTATAACCAAAGTGCTGACATATTGAATAACTCAGACTGAGATGTCAATCAGCATGCCTAGTCCTTCAGGTTTCAGACAATAGCTTGTTCGACTACAGTGAGTGAACTATAAATAGCTCCAGGAACAAATTAAACAAAGCCTGTGGAACCACATTACTCTGCAACGTACTTTACACACTATCACTCATAGTTTGCGTCTCAATTTCCACACTCCAAATTTATTTCATGTCTCAAGTAACAGCAAATAAATTTATGTTGCCTTCAGAGAGAATTTCACTTTATTCAGAAATGCTAAAATTGATAAACTGATTTATCCTAAACTGAACTGGTGAGTAAAAAAAAACAGACTTAAAACTCATCATTGATCAGGTTTATCATACATCACTCTTCCACACTGTGACTGAAAAATCATTGTCCTGAGATAACCCATATAAGCACTACTTCTGATGGAGGTCATGTCCCAAATTGAGACATAAGTCAAAAATTGTTAGCATTTTAGCATGTCATCTTCTCACATAAACTTTCTGGATATAGAAAGTTCTTACCTTCTCTGGCTCTAACAAGAGCAGTATTTGCCGCGATGCTTTCTATGGTTTCCATGTAGCACTGTGCCTTTGCACTACAAGTTACCTTTAGTTAAGTACCGCACAGTATCCAGCCTTCATGCACAAAAGTAAAAATACAACTTCTCAGCAGGCCCAGTAAATGGCAACTATTATATTACAGGCTGCTGAAATAGCTAGTCGTGTTGTCTAACCTGCAGTACCTGTGAGTCACTAAAGAATGTGGGATACTTAATGTATGACAGTGCACTCCAAGCACAGGACACGCCCTAAGTAAGAGAGGAGGGACAAAACACAGGTGTAAAGAGCATACAAATAAATCAAAAACTGTAGAGAGGTGATGGATTTGCAACAAAAGCAAAGCAGACAGAAAGAAAGAGTTATTAGAAAAGAGTTTCTAAATATTGACCATTCTTGATCAACAGGTAATCAGAATTTAATTGGTTTTGGACTACTTTTCAGTTCTGAAGTTACTCCCATTTCATGTCCAAAACCCTATTTTGACCAAAGTTGAACTTATCAGCTAACACTTGCAAGCTTGGTTAACAAATCGCATACATAAACTGTATGAGCATGATGCAATAACATCATAAAACTAGAAACTGAAAGATTCACTTAACACACATCTATGAAGCTAATGTTCAGTCACTTGAAGACATCCCAATCTCCATTTGTATATAACTAACTAGAATATAACTAACAGGTCATATACACAAAGTGGTAAATGGTAAATGGCCTGTATTTGTATAGCGCTTTACTAGTCCCTAAGGACCCCAAAGCGCTTTACACATTCAGTCATCCACCCATTCATGCACACATTCACACACTGGTGATGGCAAGCTACATGTAGCCACAGCCAACCTGGGGCGCAATGACAGAGGTGACACCCAGTGGCTTAATACTGGCCTCCTGAGGCACAGGGGTGGCTGTACCTCAGCATGTACAGCAGGTCCTCTACTAATTGAAAGTTTGGTGGTTTGATCCCTGGCTGCTCCAGTCTGCATGCCAAATTTTCTTGGACAAGATACTAACCCCAACTTGCATCCATTGGAGTGTGAATGTTAGACAGAAAATCAGTGCTTGTGTGAATGAAGCGTATTGTATTAAATCTTTTGAATTGTCATGTTAAATAGAAGAAGTGCTATATAAGGACCAGTGCATCTACTATGTAGTTTACATTTATCATTTTTAGAAGGACAGCACATACCACATACACCACAATGGACAAAAACAAAAACAAACAAATGGACAACTGTACCCTCATACACACAATAATAACATGGACTGAACCACCACTCACAACCACTAGCACTTTACATAGCCTCTGTAGAAATTATCCACATATTTCACTTATCTTAACTCATTCACTGCCAGCCATTGGCAGTGAATGAGTTAA